GGAGTCCACAATAAATGGAGACCTTTTAAATGAGATGATATATACTGCATATATATGGTGAATGCAGCCGCCGGAAGGGAGAGGTGGAGTGAGGCAGTGTAATAGAGTATTAAACCAGTGAGGATGGCTGGTCAGCTCTGATAACAACGCCTCTCTTACAGCAGATGTATCTGTCTCCTCGCTCTGCCTCATCCTTTCACGGACACAGATGAATCTCGGGTCACTGTCAATGACACACGCTCACTCGTGTGCAGCTGGTTTGCGGTGGGTGCCCAAGGCCAGGCAGGGGTGAGAGGTGACAGATAGTAAAGGCTAGAAGATACGACATTGCCCTCCAAAGTCGGCTGGTAGATTTTGCCGGAGATACAGATGGAGGTCTGTGTGTTTTACTCTATGAATTAGCTCTGCTAAGGTCATTACATGGAGCCTGTTGTTATTGTATCAGCCTACTGACCATGCTCTGGCCCCAGGACAATGCTCAAAGCCATGCTTCATTTAAGTCCTAACCTTTCTTTACCCTGAGGTGCCATCCAACTTCAGAGTCCATTCAGAATGCCTGTGGGTGTTTATATAATGATCTTTTGTGCTAGTAGCTAATAAAAAAACAATCAATTGACTCTGTTGCTCTGTTGCAACGTGATGAACAAACACACAGATGGAGCTGGATCTGAGCCTGCAGCAGGACCTAAAAGTTACTTTCGCTGTATGTGTGAAGCTGGACAGCACAGGTGACATTTACAAAAAAAGAGATAGGGACAGAGGGGGATTTGCAAGATTAGCATGCAACACATGGTGAGAAAAAAAAGCATATTCCAACACTCTATTTCAGTACCGTCAGAGAATATCTGTATGACTCAGCTGGAAACCAAAGCCCCAATTTCTGCACATCCAAGAGACACAGTCTGTATTGCTGCTGAGGTGGACATCTGAGCGGATGTTTGTGTGCTCTGTGAAACTTCAACAAGAACAAACACCTCCCACAGAGGGAACCTTTCAGTAGCTCTTACAGATGTACATAAATCACTAAAATTAACAGGGAGGTGCCCCAATTTTCACAATAACGTCTTTTAACAGGTCTTAGGCAGTGCTACTGTATATGCAAAAACAGATGTACAAAGTTTCAGAGGGAGCTGTGTGAAACTGCGGCTCGGGGCTTCATATGCCACTAAAGCCCCATTTCCACCAAACACTTTCGGTATAGTACCTTTGGAACCAAAAGTAACCCTTCAGACATGGTACCTACAGTAAACCCTAGCGTTTCCACAGCAAACAGTACTCTTAAATGTGATCGGGATTGTTGTCACTCACTGCTCCGTCCAGCAATCGCTGTATTCCCTCATCACCAGTGACACAGATAGAAGTCTGCTTCTCGTCTATCGTCCGCAGAATGAGGTTGCACGCCGACATTTTCAGAGCAAAGAATAAAACAGGCTGCAGTGAGAGTCTCTCTAGTATAGAGTATATCTCTAGAGATATTTAAAAGTAGCATGTTTGTGCATTTAGTCCTTCAAAGGCAAGCTCTGGGGTTTAGTGTTGCCGGAGCCCACAGGAACTACACTCCACGATGCTTTTTTTTTCGGTGCTGCAAGAGGCAGCAAACCATCCTTATATTTCATAGTTACAGTCCACAAATAAAACTTTCAGTGGAAACAGGGCTTGACTAGCATAGCACACCCAAAACCTTGACCAAACACTCAGCAGCCCGGTTGCATTGTATGGAAAGCAGGGACGAGGATTGTACAAGAAAGAAGAATCTTGTAATAAAAAAGACAAATACCTCTGGTTGATATTTTTTTAGTTGTCCATTGCACATCCAACATTATGGAGGTGCAATGCTAAAATGGTGGAACACTCTTTTAAAGGAAAAATCCACTCTCACATTGATTGTTCGCTTGTTATGTTCACCAAGTTAATGAATTGTGAATTTCAGTGAAGCCAAGTGTCTACGCTTCAGGTGGATTTCCACTGCAGGAGCTTTACCCTGGGGGCAAGGAACCATTTTAAGTGCTCAGGAACCCTATATGCATTTTCAACAGGGGGAACCAAGGTCTAAAATTAGTTCCTCAGTTATAGTCATTGGGCCTGAAAAAGATACGGGGTAGCACTTTCCAATGGCCAGTACATCAGCAGACTGTCACTACTCTATAGACAGGCACAGAAGTCTCCTTTTCACTTACGCATGTCGACTTTGCATCCACACAAATGTCTCACAACAGTTAATAAAGCAAAAAGGCAACTCTTATTTGTTGTTTCTTTGGGTGTGAAAGTTGAAAAAAATCTCGAACAATTCTGTCATTTTTTAATCTTTTATCAGACTAATTTGCTTCATCTTCACAGTTTTTCAGATTCAGTGAAAACACAAACAGGAATGCCTAATATCAGCATTTTTCCCCTGATTTTGCTCCTGTGGCTCCTCAGTATGTGGAACTCTTTGTTAAAAAAGGTGCATAAAACTGACAAGTGCAGTGTGGTTAAAATTACAATAAGGTATTGAAGATGGTGCTGTATTTTGCAAACTACCAGCAACAGATGCAGATACATGCCAGCTGCTGCTGCGCTATTAGAGCCGCTGTCACTCTTGTTATAAAGCTGCTACTGTATCTGTCTTGCTCTTTTCTTTACTGCGTTTCTCAATGCTAAACGTTGAGTCTTTACAGAAGCCTATTTGCTCCTGGTGGGCTGACAAGAACCTGATGTTTACTGTTGATGCCTCAGACCTGAGAAACTTTTAGAAGTTCTGCTTTTAATCATCGCTAGAATAAGGACATCGTGTCCTACATGTTTGACCTGTAGACCTGTTCAGAAGAGTGCGAAAGCTACAGCGCCTAACAAGGTGAACAAACAAAGCAAGGCACATTGCCATGAGCTTGTTCAAGTCCTTAATGGATTTTTTTCCTTAAGGCCACCCTACTGCACTATAATGGATACTGGAGCAGCAGACCCATAACTTTTGAAGCTAATGAATCTGCCTTTCAGAAACCGAGGTTCACTTGACATGCAGACACATTCCTCTTTACAAGGTCATCATCCTGCATGCCTGAATTGTTCATTAAAACAGCGCGAGAATTTAAGATTATCAATAGCAACCAGACATCTCCGATCTAATTCAAAATAAAGGGGAATGTGATAAAAAAAAATGGGCCATTCTTATTAAGACCTTACTGCATTCTATCTTCTTTTTTTTTCCAAGACTATTTTCTCTTTCATGGGAACGGTAGTCTAATTTCTCCTGGGAGCCACAAGCAGCAGCTATCTCAGCTGTGTTTACTAATCTTCCCTCGACACCAGTTTCTCAGCCCCACAAAGTTAATACTGGTCCAATGTAAATAGCCTTATCTCATAAACTCTTGTTACCCCCCCCTACCTTGGCTGCCCAATGTGATACATGGTTAGAAGTCAACACAGGGGGATTAAGTCAGAAAGAAGGGGAACATTTCCTGTGCCAGCATCTGCAGCGAGGGTATCCACCTGAAAAACCGCAACTAAAATGTCAAGGTGTACCTAACGAAGGAACACTGCTGTCACTGCACAATGACAGCTACCACATGAAGAACGTGAGTAATACACTGCTTGTAGTGCGGGGCTGAAGGAAGAGCAGATAATAAATTAAACTGAATCCGTCTCCTGGATCTCAGAACTGATCGATCGAGAGTTGACGCTCGGGGCTTCTCTTGCTATTTCGCCATGTGTAGATTACAGTACCTGCCTCATTCCACCTGTGCTAGTCTGTTACACTGAAGGCCCCCCGATCACTGTAAATGCCATGGCACTAAGTTTTAATTAAACCCAAAGGGAAAAGCATTAATTATCCCATCGCCTGCCGTGAATTGGCTGGAGGCTGCAGGCAGATTCTCACTCAAATGCTGATGATGTGGAGGTGAACAAGGTGCGGTTTAAGAGTTTAGGATTGAATTTGGGATTCATCAAGTTCAGAAATCTATTTTGATAGATGCCTGCGGACATAAAGGAGCTTTTGTCCTATAAACCATGATCACAACCACACAGCTTTTTAAAAATAACACCATTTATCCCTGTGGGAAGCTTCTGACCATTTTCAAAGGCTACTTGAGTTGATGTTTTCCAGAAAGATGGAGTATTATTCCCTGAGGCCTACAATTATTTCTTTTTAAATGATCTACAATATCTGATTATATCCTATCTTGTCATCTTTACATCTGTTCCTCTCAGCTTATCTATCTTTATTGTGCCACATTAACTGTCAGTTCTTTCTTCCAAGCTTGTAAAATCACTGCAGCCACTGAACATGAAAGTTCCTTCTCTCCCTCTCACGTTAAATGAAAAATTAAATGCATGTTTTTGTCATGGAGTGGTCAGATTCTCATTACCATATCATGGATTGATTGATTGGTTATACCCGAGGGAGGCCGGTTCCTTAATCACATGCAAGTTTCCACAGTAGAAGTATTTTCAGCAGAGAGCCCACTGCTGCCACTGATTTCTGCTAAGAAGCTGAAACAGCACTCTTCTCTTTGTCAGATCCCTGTAGGTATTTGTTAATGCAGAGATGGAGGAGCGCCTTATAAACTATGCATGCCATCTCCCTCTGGCAACCACCAGAAGAGAGCATGATGGCAGGAAAATGCTGGTTTCCATTAGTCCTGTGAGGCTGGTTAACATAAAATTATCCTTCGGGTTAGCGGGAAGCAGACAAAACTGGGGTGAGTGCTTCATTAAAGCTGATGCATAATGGACGCTGGACATCTAGAAAGGCTGATTTGCATACGGTCGTGCTTTTCTAATAAGTCACCCACACAAACAAAGTCAATTTATTTCTGAGACAATTTAGAAAGAAACAAAAGCGCACACAAACTGCTGGCATGTCTTAAAAAATAGCCTCTGGCCTTGTGCCCCATGAACTCTTACTTGCTGTGTTTCAGATTTATAGCAAGCCAAGCTCCTGGTCAGCTCTGTCTAATCTGCATGCCTGCAGGAATCTAACTATACAAAATGGCTGCAGCATAGGAGAGAGGTCCACTCACCACGCAAGAGGTCAGAGCTGGCATAGGGTGAACTGTACGTCCGAAACAGCAGCCAGTCAAAGTCATCCTCCTCCCCCTGGGTGAAGTCACACAGATTGGGGTCCGAGTCCTCTTCGAACGTGCAGCCTGCCGCTGACAAAAACAAAAGAGGAACATCAAAACAACGGCCATCAATGAAAGAAACATTTATGCTTACACATTTATTAGGGGTGGGAATCAATTGATTTAGTCTTTATTTAACCTTTATTCCCATTGAGACTGAAAATCTCTTTTACAAGAGAGACCTGGCCAAAGTAGCAGCCAATCAAAACACATTTAAAATGCAACAAACACAACATATAATACAAAAATCCACAATAAAACAACAACTATTCAAACATAGGGGCCCCTCAAGAAAAACAAGCACGTGTCTCTATCACCACATTCTTTATGATGCCTTTAAATTCATCGATGGATATAAATGAATCTAATTTTAGATCTTTTTGAAAATTTTTCCATGTCTAAGGTGCAGAGTAGAAGGATGCAGTTTTCCCCTGATGTGTTAAGACCCAGGGTACATTAAAAAGCAACTACTTGGAGGGGTGAAGCTGGTAACTACCAGAGCTGACACACAGCAGGGTGCAAAGTTAGGCTGGAAATTTGTCCAGGATTGCTTTGTAGATAGAAATATACCAGTGCTATTGTCTGCTAGTGGTCAGTGATGTCCAACCCACCAAATCCTAAAGAACGCAGTTATGAGTAAGTGACTTTGCATTTATGATTAAAATGTAGAGACATTGTACACTGAATTAAGGCTGCATGCATATACAACATGTCACTGTAATCAATCACAGACAGAAAAGTAGCTTGCACAAGTTTTTCTCAGCACTGAAGGTAAAACAAGACGTGTTTCTAAAATAAAGAGAAGAATAAAGAGAATAAATCTTCACTCTAAGCTTCCTAACTAGAGCAGCAAGCCTGTCATCTATTCATAAACCCAAGTACTTGCATGAGGACACTCTTTCGATGGATTTACCAGCAGACGTTAAGGTACTAAAATCATCAAGCAACTGTGAAGATCATAAACTTAGTTTTCTAAACATTTAAACTCTCTTAAGTCATGATACTATTATTATACTATCTTATTTCATTGTTACAATATTATTATCAATTGGCAATATGCTGAGTATTGTCATGACATACATTACTTGCAATATTTTATTATTTTCAAACTGCAAATTATGTCCCCAAAAGAAAACTTTTATCGAATAAGAGAAAGATTTCAGTCAGTTCAGTCATTTTCATTGCAGTAAAATGTATCTAGTGGACTGTAAAACCAATGCATTTTAATATTCTAGTCAGCTTCCAAAGGTTTGATTTGTTTTTGCAATATCAGTTATACATTTATTTAAAAAATCACTATCTCAACACAATATTGCCGTGCAAACTTTCACAATACTGTGCCGTATCGATTTTTTCCCTTACTCCTAACATTTATCATGCATATTTACAACATATTTTCAGTTTTAAAGAGACTGAGACACATTAAGGATGGAAAACAATGGGGCTGCAACTAGCATATCTTGTCATTATTGATTAATCAGTCAATTATTTCTATTTTCATTCAAACTGCTCGTTTTTTTAAACCAGCAGTCTTCAACCCAGTGATATTCACCATCAGGAAAACAGCAAATATTTATATTTAAAAAGCTGTAACAAGAGAATGTTGGATTTTTAAACTCTAAAAATTGAATTCTTGCCGCAGTCAACATCTCTCAAATATGTGGTGCCTTAACTTGTTATTCCCTTTTCCTCTCATGGTAACTGATGAAGTCATACAGCCAAGATGTTTTCGCTCTGCTCTGAATGTAGACTTGATCCACTGACAATTAAATGTGCCCTGCAGCCACACTGACCACCTCTCTGCCCTTTCAGACCGTAGCAATGACCTGTGATTACTATTGATGTGAACATGTCAACACAACTGAGCCAACCAGCGCTTCTGCCACCAGGGATTTACACAGATCTGCTCGTGTTCAGCTGTGGTATGACAGGCCGATTATAGTGTTAAAGAATAATTTAACAACTCAAGAGAAGTCTCTGACAGCAACCTGTGACCCTGACAAACAAATACTCTTTGCAATCGTGGGGATGCATGTAAAGCATGAGTTTATTTAAGGTGACAAAGAGACTGTCTGTACCAAACGCTGAATATACAGAATAAACAACATTATCAGCACACAGGAGCTATAAAATCTCTGTGGTTTTGACAGTGTCAGCAATTAACAGCACCTGTTGCCATCAGCTTGATTTGGTCAATACCAGCCTGACTGCGAGTCCACTATCCCCGCTCATACACACACGTGTGTTTGTCAAAATTGTATTAACTGAAATGTGTTCACATGTGCACAAATGCTCTCAGACCAACAACAAATCAAGCAATGAGCTGTAATTACTTCAGACTCGCACAAAGGAACACAAACCCTGGCCAAAGCAATAATTGCCCCTGCATCTGAGGAGAATTACCCCTCCCATAAAGCATCCACAAACAAGACTACATATCCCAAAGCCCATTCACAAATGCATACAAATAGTAATAACATTTGGGGAAAGCAGGCACCCTGGGGAATGTAGTGATTATCATAATACCTCACAACCTGCTATTCCACACGCCAAAAAGCTAATTTTTTCAAATTATATTTAATAGCTATGGCTTTAATGGCCCTTGGGTCCTGAATAATGTGCTTCAGTTCTGCATCTGTTGCCATATTTCACATTAGTCCATCGGTGTGAGAATTACAGTCTAACAGTGGGCAGCTTGAACAGCCCAGTCATAAGACCAGAGCCTGTGTCAGTAATAATTGGAGCAGGACAGCACGAGACACGACATGCTAATGATAGGAATAACCATGAGTCGGTCCTGAAGGTGACCCCTGTGGTCTACGGCTTTATTGCCGCTCATTCTGTTCTCTAATCTGCCATTAAACAAATGGTCTCAATATGACAGGGTGCAGACAAAAACGCCAGCTTCACTGTAGAGAGGATTCATAATTCTGTTTTTTATTACCGATGTATAAGATAGCACAGCTTCCAGTCGTTAATACATTAGTATGATTGTTGAGCTGGTTTGATACATTAAAGCCTGAATAAAATGGAGGACGCGAGGAAGACGATGACAGAGCTGGGTGCAATTGAGAGTTTCTGATCATGACAAAACTACGTCTGGGTTCTTGCACCGATACCACAGTGTGCTGGTGCATATTTTTAATCTAATAAAATATGCCATAGATTTTATAGCATCAAATATATAAAATACAGATTAAAATTAGTTCCCCTGTTTCCTGATTTCAAAAATATCTGATTCATGAATTAGTAACGACCAAGAATTCAGTGCCGGCTGTTTTCTTGGAGTCATCCCTTTGTTCCCAGGGTCCTCACTGTAAGAGATCGGTGAGCGCTATCTTCACAGTTCAAATTACAAAAGAAAGGAAAGGAGATAACCGTTTTAAATGCAGTTTGAATGCTAAAAAAAAAACATTTAGCCTCTGTAGAAGTACCTTTGTCTGAAGTCAGCAATCATAAATACTTATATTGATCCCCAGGGAGGAAATTGGGACACATAACAGTTGTTCTTATATTGTGTATAAGCAAGAGAAATTATAAGAAAACAGAAAAAAAAACCAAGAAGTAAGTAAAGAATATGTGCAAAACTGTTGTAGGCGTAAGTTTCAAGGATTATAACATCATGAGCTGTGAGCTGTGGGTTGCTGATTTCAACATAACTGACCCAGAAAATATATTGAATATTTGACCTAGGTATAAAAAAAAAAAAAAAAAAAAAAAAAAAGCATTGTTGGTCTCCTTAATGTGTCATATTAAGAAGTTACTGAGCTGGGAAAGATACCCTGGGTACATGTGTGCTCTGTGTCCTCTGTGCTCTTTTGGTTGATACAGCTCTCCTTTTGGAAAGTTTTTCTACCAGCTATATATAGCTTATTTTAATTCTACTGTGATGCATCAAGCCAGGAATACATGCATTTCAGCTGCAGGGGATAACTGCGCTGGCCTGCACCTTTGTGCCCCTGCTTGGTACCAGGGTGCACAGAGACCAAACAGTGATCATGAGCTTTTCCAAACCAAGCTGTGCATTGCACTGAACTTATTGATTCAATGAGGCTGTGATGAAGACTACAGAGGAAGCTCCCATCACTTCTGAAGCTTGTAAGTGAACCTGTGTGGTTTGGAGTTTCCTTTCCCTCCTACATTTCTGCTTATTTTCTTTATCACTGTCCTACAGCTGTGTTAAGTTACTGCTAATGCAAACCGATCAGTTACTGCTTTTGGTTCGGACATCAGCCTGCTAGGTGGTCACGCTCATGGATGTAGTGCAGTCCTACCTCCATGATTAGTTACAAGCTAAACTGTGATGGTAATTTAGTAAGCAGGGGTAAAATTAATGGTTTACAAATGCTGTGATTGCGGCTCCAAATGGGAAATATTAGAAGCAAAGTTCGGATTAAGTGAATAATATCCACAATCAACCAAACCCAAGTGCTGGTGGCCACTCAAGCAGCGTCAATAAAGTTTCCACAGCACCTGATGAGGGGCCCTCGCTGTGTACAAGAGTTGTGTGGAGGAGTTTGAGTGCCAGTTAGTACTACCCCTTTGTGCAGCGTGGCTGTGGCTGCTAATAATCAACAATAAATTAACTTCTGATTAGGAAAAAACTTGCTTCCTGATAGCAATGTCCATAGCTGAACAGGGTAGGTTGATGCTGGTGGTGATACATGGTGGTATGTGGTGTAAAATGTTTGAGACTGACTGGTGTAAAGGGTTACAGTCAGTCCAAGGCGTTGAATTTTCTCCAGATGGTGCATTCACTGCAGCACAAACACACTCAGGGTGCCCTTGCCTACAGCCAACCTATTACATCACTCTTGTGCCTCCAGTGATTGCGATACGATAACACCGGGGCATATCTGCCATCATGTAAGCTCGGTCCATTGGGTGATAGTAGCAGCCAACCAGCAGGAGAGGGAGTGTGGGTTTCTCCCTCTGGGTTTGATTTATTGCCCCGTGCTGGGCTGTTACTGCACAGATCTGCTGCTGAGGCCAGGGGTTAATTGTCCCGCACTGGGGTCTATTTCTAATAG